AGCAAGACGAACATCACCCAATGGACCAAGGCATTCCCCCCCCCCCCGCTGACTATAATATTATGAAAAATGTCCGCGGCGGCCGAAAGGAATCATCCTTGGGAGACCACCCCAAGGATAGGTGGAACAACGGCGGGAATTTCCTTGAAACCCCCCAAGGAAACTTCCATCGGCCCCGAGGACGCCCCAAGGAGTGTCTAACGAGCCCCAAGGAAAAAGACAAGGATAAGGACAAGATAAAGAGAAGGATAAAGAGAAGGTTGATATCAGCAGAAACAAGGATACTCCAAATCAAAGTCTTGCCCCTGGGCTGAAAAGGCAGGATGGCAACGTTTTTCCCGTTTAACAGCCATGGAAAAGGAGGAGGACTGATTAGGATAAGGACAAGATAAAGGATAAGGAAAAAGAAAAGGATAAGGATAAAGAGAAGGATAAGGATAAAGAGAAGGACAATGTCAGCAGGGATAAGTATAATCCAAGTCAAAGTCTTGCCAATGGGCTGAGAAGACCGGATCGCAACTCTTTTCCCGTTTAAGACTTGACATCAACACAGAGATGGATAAGGATAAGGATAAGAATAAGGAGGATAAGGATAAGGATAAAAGTAAGATAATGATAAGGATAGGGATATGGATAAAGGTAAGGATAAAGGATAAGGGTAAGGATACGGATAAGGATAAAGATAAAGATAAAGATAGGGATAATGTCAGCAGGGATAAGGATAAGGATAATGCTAGCATGAAGAAGGATAATCATGCCAGCAGTAGAGACATGTCGTCTGGCCTAACATAGCGGCGTCTTCCATCAGTACAACGAAAGGCCACGAGCGTGATCACACAGCCTCGCTCCACCAGACAACATTTGAATGTATCTGGAGGTGGTGGTAGTCCCGATACATATAAAATGTTGGATCAGCTGGAAGTGTCTGGACCGGTGTACCGTCCAGATACATGTCGAATGTTGATTCGTGGAGCGAGGTCGACATGATCCTCTGCCCTGATGGTTCAGTTAAACAATAAACGATTTTAAATCGAATAAAAATTAAAGAATATAGTTGACCCACACTGAGAGAGCTAACGGTGTTACAAAAGCCACCATAGCTGTCAGCCCATGTACGGGCTGATGCAATACGTATCTGTATGTCCAGATGCGTTCCAGCTGGAACATATCTGGACTCGGTCTCTCGATGGCCAGGGGAGAGAGGGGGGATCCTTCAGGGAGAGCCCTCCATTCCCATGAGAATCAATGCACACACACACACACACACACACACACACACACACACACATGCTAATGTAGCATCAAGCCAGAGACTGGAGCCGATATTTTAAGCTCTTGTGCGTTTCCGTACAGATGAGGATGATGTTCCGTAGAGATGAGGATGATGACGGTGCTGATAACGGTGACGGAACTAGAAAACATGAAGGACTAAGTTTATACTGCAGTTCTGATTTCACGCTGACATTATCCTTATCCTTATCCATGC